AATAGTGTTAACTTTTTTTAGAAATTTCAAGGTAATTATTTTCAAGTAATTAATTGAAGAAATAATGTGAATTTTAATAAATGTAAATCAGATCTAATTGCATATAGTATTTGAAAATATTTTACTAACATTCTCCACAAGTCGTTGCAATTATTTATTGTTACTGCCGTGGAATTATGATTTTACAACGGTTCCGTAATAGCATTTAACTTTAAGAAAAAAAAGTTGATTGGCATTTTGCTATTCATCTGGTGATAACGAATATGTATTCTCTATTAACAAGTGTCCACAACTTTGTTCGAGTGAATAGAGTAAAAAATAAATTACAGGGTGAAATAAAAAAAACTATTAAACGCCATAATTGTTATATTTTTTTTAAATTTTATTGAATGAAAGCAAAAAATGTCGGAAATAGCATCAAATTTTAGAATAAGTATAGATTTGTTCGAATTCGTCACCTTTGGCACGAATTATGGCCTTCAAACAGCCAATGAAACCGTCACACGCTGCCCGAATGTTGTTCTGCGGTATTTTGGCCAATTCCCAGCGAAGCGCCTGCTTGAAGTGATTGAAACTTTGATATTTTTTAGTGCCAACCCTGCTTTCCACAATACTCCAGACACGATAGTCCAACGAAACCAAGCGATACATCTCTTTACCTCTTTTGAGTCTATTTTCTTTCTGTTGAGGTGTAAGTTCTTGAACTTTTTGGATTTTAATGGCTTTACCCCGAGCTTATTTTTCAATATTTGCCGATATGTTCAGCTCACGCGCTTGCATGAGGTAATCAACACTTTGGTAATTTTTAGTGCCAACCTTGCTTCTCAAAGTTCTCCGGACACAATAGTCCAACGGATTGGTATCCAGAGATTTCGGTGACCATTGTGCGTTGGAAATGAAGCGAGGAACCTCATTTTGTAAGCATTCTTGGGTGGGGCGTCCAAGATCAGCGGCCAAAATTTTTGCCTGCCAAGACCTTAATACACCATCCATTATATTTCCGCGATAATATTCGGCATTTATTCTGATGCCATGGTCAATTAATACGAGCGGAGAGCGACCATCAGCTGTTATGTCGGCCCACATCATCACCATGGCCGGCGCTTGAGTTCTGGTGGTCAACCGAAGCTGCAGATTTTCAGCTGACCTCTTTGGCAAGTAAACACGAACATTTTGCTTGTTTGCAACTGCTGATTTTCTCATCGGAGAAAACCAAATTCGGCAGTTCACCACTATCGGCCAAACTAAGCAGCTCTTTTGAGTCGATTTTCTTTCTGTTGCGGTGAAAGTTCATGCACTTTTTGGAATTGTAATGGCTTTACCCTGAGCTCATTTTTCAATATTTGCCGAATGGAATATTGCAATATGTTCAGCTCATGAGCCATTTTTCGGCCACTGTCACGTGAGTTTCGATCAAGTCGCTTCACTACGTTTCGAACCATTTCTGCTTATGTTGCTGTTTTCTTCCGTCCACTTCCCTAACGTCGGGCTACGCTACAAGTATCACGGTAACGAGCGATGGTACGAGACACAAAAAGATATATTCACATTTAAATGCTGGAGTTCTCTAACGATAGCCACTGAATTAGTTTGAAGGATTTTCATCTCATCCTGTATATAAGCGATTGAAAAATCAAGAAAAATCTTTTTTCCAGTTGTTCCAAGGAATGCATACTACATATTATCATGTAATATTGTATACATTTCTGTATTATTTGAAACAAAAAAAAAAACCGTCGATTTGAATATGCTAAAGAGTATTGAAATGTGTCCCAAACTTATCTGTAAAATTAAGACTTTCATTCACGCTTAAAATTCCGGAAATCAGTTCGAAATATGTTCAATATCTGAGTTAACCATAAGAAGTCGCCTGATATTGTCCATTTGTCGAAGTGTGAGGAGGGAAAATTTAATCACAATAATCAGTTTCGCTTTATATACGGTATAGGATTTTTGAAAGTTTTGAAAATATTTGGTAGTTAATTGCATGTGCGAAGTTTAAAAAAAAACAAGTTAAAAAATATCAGTCGGTTTTGCCGACAGATATGTTAATTTGCTTTGCTTGAAAAATATGTTAATTTGCTTGTTTGAAAATAAACGCCGATATGTTTCGCAACTTATGAAAGACATATGCCCTGCAAATTGTGAACCTTTGTGGGAGAGGTTCAAGTAGGAGTAGGCCGCAATTTTCACAACAGAACTTGAGTTAGTAAAAATATTGGGATATATTAAATTTGAAGGTAATCGTTTGCTTATTTCGCATTTTATGAGTGATATAATCATTCAAAAAGTTGACCAGTTTTGGGGGAGGTATCAGAAGGATAGGTCCGATATATCTCATCTCCACATCAGATCTTGTTTAAGAAAAAAATTTAGGATATGTACATTTTGAAAAGAATCTAATGTTAATTTCACATTTTATAGGAGACATAATAATTCAAAATTTGACCCGCTTTAGGGGAGGTGCCAGAAGGAGTAGTCTGACACATTCCATATTCATACCAAGTCATGTATTGATAAAAAAAATATTGAGATATGCCGAGTTTAAAAGGAATCGGATGCTTATTTCACTATTTACGAGCTTCATGGCTATTCAAATTTCATCCCGTTATGTGGAAGGTACCAGAAGAAGTTGAACGATATATCTCATCTCCGGTTCGATCTCTACCACCAGATCTAGTATTGATGGAAATATTGATATGTACCAAGTCTGAATGGAATCGGATGTTAATTTCGCGTTTTTTTTTTTTTTTTTTTTTTTTTTTTTGACCTCAGGGATATTAAAAAATTGAACCTTTGAAGGAGTGAACCGATACATTCCATCTTCACATTAGACGTTGAGTTGGTAGAAATAATGGGATGTGTGAAATATGAAGACAATTGCTGGACTCTTATTGTACATGTTAAAGGAGTTATCTTATTCAAAATTGTTACCCTTTGGGGGGGGGGGGGGGTTGGTGAGTACTGGATAGAGTGGACCTATATTTCCCGTCTTCACACCAGACCTTGGGTTATTAAATATATTGTGATGTGTAAATTGAAGAGAACTGGATGTTTATTTTGGTTTTTATGAAGATTTTGATTATACAAAACTTTGACCCTTTGTGGGGGAGGTACCAGAAGCAATGGTCCGATATTTATAACAGATCTTGTGCTGATGTGAATTTCATGTTTAATGAGCTTCATAAATATTCAACATTTTGACCTATTGTGGGGGAGGTACCAGAAGGATGGGACAGATGTATTCCACTTTTACACTCGACCTTGGGTTAATAAAATTATTAGGATTTGTGAAATTTGAAGAAAATCGCACTCTTACATCACATTATATAAAAAAATGTTGACTCTTTGTGGGGGAGATACTTAATGGAGTGGACCGATATTGTCAAGTTTCGCACCTGACCTAGCACTGACTCAAATATTTGGATTTTCAAAGGCGGATCAAAATCGGATTATCGTTTCTCTTTCTGTGCAGAAAATATATTTTTTGAAAATTTCGACTTTTGTGGGAAAGTTACCTGAGGAAGTGAACCAATATATTCCATCTTAACACCAGACCTTGGGTTAATAAAAATATTGCGATGAGTGAAGTTTGAAGAGATTCAGACTCTTAAATCACATTATATAAGACTTGTAATTATTCAAAATTTTGACTCTTTGTGAGGAGGTACCTGATGGAGTGGACAGATATTGTCCATTTTTGCACCTGACCTAGCACTGAGGTAAATATTAGGATTTGCAAAGTTGAAGCAAAATTGGATTATGGTTTCACTTTCTGTGCAAATTTGAAAATAGTTTTTTTGAAAATGTTAACCTTTTGTGGGGAGGTACCAGAAGGAGTGGACCGATATTGCCCATCTTCGAACTCGATCTAAGTTTGACAAAAATAATACGATGCACCAAGTTTGGACCAAACCACAGACAGACAGACGGGCGGACGGAAATCGCTAGATCGACTCCAAATGTCCTGAAACGGATTTGGTTCAAAGATAGCTAGGGTCTAAAACCTTTATTTAGACTAGGCACGTTTTGACCGTATCAAATGATATATACCCTATTAGGGTATAAAAACAATATACCCTATGAGGGTATAAAAACAAATAGATTACAGATAGCGATACAAACCCTGGATACATATATTATTAGGTTTACACCTTTGTGTTTATTGACCCAAAACATCGTGAGGAAAACCTTTTCGTTTTTTTAGGGAATTTAATAAAAATCATATGTTTTGAAAATGTTGTATAGAAAACTAGTCTTTTTGACATAGCGTGTGTCCTGATTTTCCCCCGAGCCTTGAAAAATAAATACCCCTACCCAATTATGAAAAAAGTGGGCAATTAAAAATGACTGAAATTCGAAGCAATTTTCTCACATCATTTCCTTTTATCTAATTACGGCGAACGAAGTTTGTTTAATTGAATGTTCTCTTTGGTTTGAGTCAATATTTTTTAGCTTTTCAATTTACAACAAAACAAGTTGTTGTTGTTGCCTTTTCCAAGCAACTACCATGACAAAGTGTTTGTCCGTCCGTCTGTTTTTTAACTCAATTTCTATTGAACTCAAAATTAGAAGAGTGTCCATTATCGTCTACTCCCTTTCTTGTTGTTGTTGATGTTTTTTGTTGTAATATGTTACGGTCTCCCTTTTATTCATAACTAATATTCAGTGCAATTATCAAAGCATTATTGCAGCCAGAACAAGCTTGGGAAGAACAGCAACAACAAGAACAACAACAATAAATAACAAAACAAGTTAAAAAGCTGTTCCGAAATGTTTGTTGGCCTAATGGAGTGCGGGCTGATGCTGTTTTGTTTTTGTTTGGTTCTTTTCTAGCTCCAATCTGCTAGCCAGCCAGCCAGCCAAGGCAGGCAGTCAGCTAGACATCGAAGCTTTAACGATGCAGTCGCCTAAGGTGACAGAGAGATGGCTGGCTGGATGGCGAACGGTAACGTCATTATGTTGGCTTGCTTTTTTTGTCTATCTGTGCGTTTTCGCTTTCAGTTGAGTTCCGTCACAAGAACGATAAAGATGTCGGTGAACAGCGCTTGAAAAAAAAAAAACTCCGTGTTGTGAGTGACAGTCGAAATTCCCGAATACTTTTAATTCAAAAAAATTAAAAGTATTTAACAAAAACAAAGTGTTTTAAATTTTGGCTTTTTTTTTGTTGTTGATACATAACTTAACTGTGAAATGAATTCTATTAGAAGTTAAAAGTTGTGATTTTAATTCGATTTCGAATTGGCTAAACACAAAAACAAGTAAATTAAATATTGGTGAAGAAGTTCGTTTTACGTTTTTGGAATTTAAAAAAAAAATCAACAAAAACAGACATAATGGTGGAGAAAAAGAGTTATTCTTGCGTTAAAACGGATTCAGGTAAAGAAGATTTGAAATTGTGTCAAACATTTGCATACCCACAGTGGTATATAAAAAAAGAATACTTCCAAGATGGCTTTCGTGGATTTTAAAAATATTTCCGATACCTTTAACTTTTATATCTACTATCGAAGAAAAATGCAATCATAAAGTGTTGTCGAACTTTTTATACCCTCAGCCGTGTGACTAGAGAGAGAATGATACCACTAAAAAATCTCTTATCGAAATAACGGCTTAAGACCCTAGGTCTCTTTGGGCCAAATCCGTTTCTGAACATTTGGAGTCGATCTAGCGATGTCCTCCGTCTGTCTGTCTGGCTAGTGCGCACAATAAGTTTCGAATGGAGTATCCGATTTGGTCCAAACTTAGTATATCGTAATATTTTTTCAAACTTAGATCGAGTTCTGAGATGGACAATATCGGCCAACTCCTTCTGGCATCTGCCCCACAAAAGATCGAAATATTCAAAGAAAATATTTGACTGCACAGAAAGAAAAGGGATAATCTGATTTTGCTCCAGGTTTAAAAATCCTAGTATTTGCGTCAGTGTAAGGTCAGGTGTAAAAATGGACAATATCGGTCCACTCCATCAAGTACCTCCCACACAAAGAATCAAAATTTGAATAATTATAACAATATAATAAAAAACAAGTAAGCAAAGGCTACAGTCGAGCGGGGCCGATCGTTGAATACCCTACAACACTATAATAAACCATACAGTTTATATAGGCGAGATAATCGAAAGAACTCCACAAGATATTGTGACAAATAATAAAAGAAAACCATCATGTTTCGTTCTCTAATTTTCGGATAATAGCAACTTAAATTTGATCATTTCCAATTTATTGGTAGATGTCGCTGGAATGGACATTTTCGTATTTAGTCTACAAAAGTTGGCAAACTATTTCACACATTGAATATTTTTGGATGGCCATCCGAAACTGCTTGGCTTTTGCAATGTGCGGTAACCCCCATTAAAATGGGCGTGAGGATCGGGAGATAATTACGACCTGCTGACAATTTTGCAGTTCAACCCCTAAATATATGGCGATCATCTCCAAAAAGAGTAGACATCTATTCTGACCCTCATCTTATCCCCATGCAAAATTTCGTAAGAATCGGGCCATAAATGCGATCTGTATATGACATCCTGATATCCTAACTACTTAGTTTTGTTAGCTGTAGAAATATTACCAAATGTTTAATTCAAAATGAAAATATGCCAAAAATATGACAAAATTGAAAAAATTTGAGAAAATTTTACAAAATCAATATTTTCATCTTTAGAGAGATATTTTTATGCGATTTTTTTAGACGGGTTTTCTTTCCTGCCAAGAGGCCATTCTGAATTAATGAGAACTGTCGAAATCAGTTCAGCCGTTCTCGACATATAAGAGATCTTTCAAGCATATCTTCTTTCATAGACGTATATATCGCACATATTTTGCTATATATCCGATTTGTTGGATGTTAACATCAATGTAAAGTTCAGAAGTAACCTTGTGATGGCTTTGTGATTTCGCCAGGATTTAAAATATTCGCGGTTTAATGAAAAATTTTGAATTTTTTCAACACAAAAGATATGTTCTATTTTATCCGCTAAATATTACCCGATGACCACCCAAATTGGTAGGCTTCTTGCCAGCCCTAAACTCTAGCTACATGCCGTCGATTGGTCTATAATTGCGACCTGTATAGCTACTGCAAAATCCGAAATTTTTTCAGTATTTGGTCCATTTCAACCCCTAAACATTTGGCGATCATCTCAAAAAGAAATAGGGTTCTATTCTGGCCCAACCCCGACCTCCATTCCAAATTTCGTGAAGATCGGGCCATAATTGCGACCTGTAGAGTGATTACAAATTAACATGGACAGACGGACAGACGGACGGACGGACATACATAGCTAGATCGACTCAGCTCGGCGAGCTAGGATGATCCATATATACTTTCCTATGTGGGAAACCAATATTTCGTGGTGTTACATAATTTTTGGCCCAATCAAACTTATAATACCCCCAACACATAGTGATGTAGGGTATAATAAGAGCCCGATTGTATTCAACTTACATACATAACAATATTTTTTTTTTTAACCCAAGGTCTGGTGTGAAGATGGAATGTATCGATCCACTTTTTCTGGTCAACATTTTGAATATCCTTGAAGCACACAAAACGCGGAATTAACATCCGATTCCATTCAGACTTGACACATCTCAATATTTCTATCCGCACAAGATCTGTTGTAAAGATGGTAGAGATCGAACCATTCCTTCTGGTACCTCCCCCACAAAGGGTCAAAGTTTTGAATAATCAAAACAATTATAAAATCCGAAATAAGCATCCGCTTCTCTTCATATTTCACACCTCCCATTATTTCTACTGACACAAAATCTGCTGTAAACATAGAATATATCGGTCCACAACTTCTGGTACCTCCCCCAAAAAAGGTAGAAATTTTGAATGTCCATGAAGCACACAAAACGCGAAATTAACATCCGATTTCATTCATACTTTACACATCTTCATGTTTCCATCAACGCAGGATCTGTTATAAAAATAGCAGAGATCGAACCATTCCTTCTGGTACCTTCCCCACAAAGGGTCAAAGTTTTGAATAACCAAAACGATCATAAAATCCGAAATAAGCATCAGTTATAATTCGCACATACAAACATTTTTGCTAAAACAAAATCTATTGTGAAGATGATGAAGATATATCGGTCCTCTCCTTCTGGTACCTCCCCCGCAAAGGGTCAAAATGTAGAATATCCATGAAGCTCATAAAACGAGAAATTAACAGCCGATTCCATACATACTTTGCACATCTCAATATTTCTATTAACACAAGATCTGTTATAAAGATAGTAGAGATCGGAGCATTTCATCTGATACCTCCCCTACAAAGGATCAACATTTTTCGTTTGTGCGCATCAGCCAGACATCCAGTCGATGACTTAAGCCAGTCAAAGAACGGTTGTATGAATTCTCACCTTTAATCATTTTTCTTCTTAGCTTTTTTACGACCACCTGAATTATTTTGTGCAATTTTAAAACCATGGTACAATTAGTAGGTAGAACAGCTTAGTAAAACTACAGAAATACAGCCCTGAAGCTATGTACGCTTCCTGTTAGAATTATTCAAAATTATAGGCAAAAAGTTGTTTTCAATTATTTGATATTTTTAGTTCATTTTTAAAATGAGTCAAAAAGCGCGAAAGATGAATGAAACGTCTGGATGTTCTCTCAAAAATATGATCCTAAGTGTTTAATCTTTCAATTTCATGGCAAATCTGGTTAATAATAATTGATTTTGAAAACATTTTGTTTTTATACCCTACAATACTATGTGTTGGGGGTATTATAAGTTTGATTGGGCCAGAATTTATGTAACACCTCGAAATATTGGTTTCCCATATAGGAAAGTATATATGGATCTTCCTAGCTCGCCGAGCTGAGTCGATCTAGCTATGTATGTCGGTCCGTCCGTCCGTCTGTCCGTCTGTCCATGTTAATTTGTAATCACGCTACAGGTCGCAATTATGGTCTGATCTTCACGAAATTTAGAATGTAGGTGGGGTTAAGGTCAGAATAGAACCATATTTATTTTGGAGATGATCGCATAATACTTAGGGGTTGAAATGGATCAAAAACTGAAAAAATTCCTGATTTTGCAGTTGCTCTACAGGTCGCAATTATAGACCAATCGACGCGGAATTTCGCATGTAGCTAGAGTTTAGGGCGGGGAAGAAGTCTACCAATTTGGGTGGTCATCGGATAATATTTAGCGGGTAAAATAGACCATAACTTTTGTGTTGAAAAAAATCAAAATTTTTCATTAAACCGCGAATATTTTAAATCCCGGCGAAATCACACAGCCAAGGTTATCACACACATGACAAGGTTACTTCTGATCTTTACATTGATGTTAACATCCATCAAATCGGATATATAGCAAAATATGTGCGATATATATGTCTATCAAAGAAGATATGCTTGAAAGATCTCTTATATGTCGAGAACGGCTGAACTGATTTCGACAGTTCTCATTAATTCAAAATGGGCTCTTGGCAGGAAAGAAAAAACGTCTAAAAAATTGCATAAAATATCTCTCTAAAGATGAAAATATTGATTTTGTAATATTTTCTCATATTTTTTCAATGTTGTCATATTTTTGGCATATTTTTATTTTGAATAAAACATTTGGTAATATTTCTGCAGCCAACAAAACTAAGTAGTTAGGATATCAGGATATCATATACAGATCGCATTTATGGCCCGATCCTTATGAAATTTTGCATGGGGATAAGATGAGGGTCAGAATAGAAGCCTACTCTTTTTGGAGATAATCGCCATATATTTAGGGGTTGAAATGGACAAAAAAACTGCAAAATTGTCAGCAAGTCGTAATTATCGCCCGATCCACATGCGCATTTGAATGGAGGTTACCAGACATTGCAAAAGCCGAATAGTTTTGGATGGCCATCCAAAAATATTCAATGTGTGAAATGGTTTGCCAACTTTTGTAGACAAAATACGAATATATCCATTCCAGTGACTTTTTGGAGAATTCACAAATACAGGAAAGACGCACTTCTGACTATTTCGTTAAGGATATAGATGCGTTTTAGTCAAAAACCAATAAAAAATGTTAATCTTTTGCCACTTCTGAGAGATTATAGGTCTTTGGGAAATATTGGTTCCAGATCTAGGAAGACCATTTACGTGCAACATCTACCAATAAATTGGAAATGAGCAAATTAGTTTAAGTTGCTATTATTCGAAAATTAGAGAACGAAACCTGATGGTTTTTATTATTTGTCACAATATCTTGTGGAATTCTTTCGAGTATCTCGCCTATATAAACTGTATCGTTTATTATAGTGTTGTAGGGTATTCAACGGTCGGCCCCGCTCAACTGTAGCCTTTGCTTACTTGTTATTTATCAAAACAACAAATACATACACATAATTGGCAGAAGCCGGGCACGCTTAAAAAAA